ACGGTGTCGCACTGGGGCCTCTGGCACCGCCGAGTGGCTGGCGGCCCTGCTCTCGAGGGGCCCTCGTTTCGGCCTCGCCACGGTGACGACACTCTCCTTTGTTGGCGTCGGTGACGGGAAGCGACGCACGGCTCCGCTTGAGCCATAGGCTGTGCTCAGTGGCCTTGCGTGATACAGGCGAGAACAAGCAAACAAAATATATAAATATATAAATAGATAAAAATGCTCGGGTATCAACGGACGGCCTCGCCATGTTAAGATAGATCTTCATAGCGGGGCTCCGAATATCTTTGAGGGCTCAACATACACTGATGAATGATACTGACTTCATACCGTGTGGCTAAGCCGCCGGGGCAGGCATGTTGCAATAGGAAGACGTTAAAATATTGGCTATTTTGGGGAAGGCAGTACGTGCGCGCATGCGTATGTACGTGCGTGCGTGTGTGTATGCATGACCACTGCCACGCCTGCCACATACCGTGCTCTCCACTCGTAATAGGTACGTCATGTGGTGCGTAATAGGTACGTAATAGGTAATAGGTACGTCATAATAGGTGCCTAAAAATACATGCTGTGCGTTGCGAGTGACCTGGCGCGCGTCCTAACGCTATCCAATAACGTCATCATGTAGTTGAGAAGCTTCGGCGGTAATGCTTTACCTGGCCCAACCAGCGACGCCTTCCATGGTCTTAAATGTTTGCAAAACCCGAACACGCCGAACTGCGGTTTCCAGCAGTAGAACATCACACATCTTAACAGCTGTGTTCTGCCGTTTTCAGGGCGCTCGCATGGAAGTTGTTTTGCCACGCAGCATTGTATTGCCACATTGCGATGCTGCAAGCATTTTATCGTTTTCATTCAACCCAGGGGCAGGATTCAGAACTTCGCTAAGGGGGTGGGGTACGCAACATTGTGGCCCCCTAGAATTAGGTCCCCACCTCCCAAAATCCACACATCACAGCATGCTTCTTAAGATATTATTGCTTTGCTAAATTTTTACTTTTGCTTTGCCATTGCTAAAATATATTGCGTTAGAAAAATAGGCTTGTTGCGCATTCAGCACGCCTATTACAATGCGTACGCAGTAAACCTATACAGTGAGCTTATATACTTTCTTCAGAAAACGGCAAATCCTGTCGTTTTGAGACGACGTTTTTCGGAAAACATGACAGAAACCTAAAGTTGGCTGAGAGATACCATTTTAATTAGGCACGATCTTGATTCCTGGCTTATTTACAGTTAGCGAACTGGTTGAGGTGGTCACCTGATGGCTGGTGACGACTGCAAAGTTTTTGCTTTGGTGGTCATGAAGGAGTACAAAATACCCAGGCATTAAAAATGCATTAAGAACGTAATGAACCAGCAAAACAGGTGCACGAGTTCAATAACCAACGGAAAAACACCTGCGACGTCCATGGCATGTAAAATTATGTTCGACAATTGCGCGTAAAAATTAATCAGCACATATCTGACTGTGGCTTTAAGACTAAGGCACCAAGACCAATAGGGACGGAACCCGAGAGATCATCGTTGCTACGGCAGGCACACAAAGAGGCCTCCGTTAACGAGTAAAGGGTCCTCAGGGAAAACGAGAAGAGCTCAAGACCAATGTGGTGCGTCCCTGAGCGATCAGATGTGCCCCTGCAGGCTAACATATAGGACCCCGGTCAGTGCACGGGGCCCTCTGAACGGAGGGGCATTGCCCGAGACCGATGTGCGTGAATTAATGCTTCTCTGGCGATCAAAAGTGCATGGGCAGGTTAACAGAAAGGGCCCCGGTAGGAGTAAAGGTTTCTGCCCAAACGGGATCAAAGGGGAATGTCCCTAGATCGATGTAGAGAAGCCCTGAGCATCGAGTAGCTTGATGCCTTACCTTATATGGGCCCTAGCAGCAACGCAAGGCCCTCCGAGCAACTGCAAAGAACCCAAGACTATATGAACAGCTCCTGAGCAACTGGGTGTACCCTGGCATATGGGACCCTGGAAAAAGCGTATAGAGCCTTTCGGGCGAATGGAAAGAATCTGTGGGGGAAAACCTGATCAATCAAGAGTGCCCAGGCATGTTAGCATATAGTGCCCCAACAGCAGCGTAGGGCTCTACAAAAACTGCAAGGAGGTCAAGGACGACGTGTAAGTATTCTTAGGGATTGGACTGACCAGGCAAATGGAGATATAGGCCCTGGGAACAGTGTGTCGTCTCTGGGCAGGGTAAGGAGCCTCAAAATGTCACCAAGCACAACCCTCTTCATCAGCGAAGAATTAGCTTTGTCTGCCCACGGGCTCTTCACTTTCGCTTGTGGCTGTTCTTGGTCGGTTGGAGGTCCTCAGACGTCCAATTTTGTTGTATTTTGTGTTACGATATTGCGCCTGTTCGGCCGGTCATGGGTCCCTTCGGAGCCTATGGCTCTCCCTTGGGGCGCAAGGGGAAGGGCCATGGCTCCGTGCCCTCCCCTTTTCGATCCGCCACTGGCCCGAGCAGTGTAATAGATGGGGCTCCGACAATAATATAGGGTCATCCATGCAATAAGAAGCACCCAAGACACAATGTGGAGGTCCCCCAAACGACCGAGTACACCCGAGCAGTTAAAAAGATCTAGCCCGGACAGGAGCGCGGGACCCTCCATTCAAATAGGAAACATCCAAGACATAATGGAAATGGTCCCCGAACGATGGAATGTGCCCGAGTAGGCTGTTAAAAGAGACCTGAACCAGAGCGTAGGGCGTTCATCCAAATAACAAGTACCCAATACTCAGTGTGAAGGGCCCCGAAAGATCGGGTGTACCCGAGCATGCTATGGGACGGTCCCCGACATGAGCAAAGGTCTCTACATTCAGATACCATGACCCAATCTGCGGGGCTCCCAAACAATTAAAACACCAAACAAGAACTCTGGCGTGTTCCGTAGCATGCCAGCGGAAAGGGCCCCGCAACAGCGCAGGGCCCTTCGAGCAAATGCAAAAAATCGAGTGCAGCGTAGAAGGCTCCTTAACGATCGGATTGGCCCTGCAAGTGGTTATATATGGCCGCGGGAAAAGTGTAGTCTCTGAACAGCGTGATGAGCCTTAAAACGTACCAATCACCGCCCTCTCGTAAGTGAAGAATATTTTTTGTCTTCTCGTGGGCCCTTACTTTCGCCTGTGACTGTCCTTGGTCGCCTTGGTCGCCCAAAGACGTTCAAGTGTGTTGCGTTTTGTGTAAAAAAGCGTTCGTTTGGCCGGCTGTGGGCCCCTACGGAGCCTACAGGACCGTCAAGGCCCAAGGGGCACGGCCCGCGCCTCTCCCCCCTCAGGACTCGCTCCTGATCCGAGCGCCTGCCGTGCACTAAATACAGTTCTATCATTGTTTTGAGTTGTGCTCCTCCACTGTGAAATCCTGGGTACGTCCCAACCTATTCACGTGGGTTTGGGCACCGCTCTTCTCAAAGACGAATCGGGGAGGGGGGAGGGGGAGAGAGGGGAGTCTGGGTTATGCCCACCACCAGCCCCCGGGATGGGGAAAGTTGGACAAGAGTGACGCATTGCTTCTCTTTGAAAAAACAGAAGTAATTTTCATATCGGGAACTCTGCTTTAGAGCATGCTCACTCAAGGTTCGGTAAAGCGAAATCCAAAGCTTTTTTTCAAAACCAGAACACCGTCGGTTTGCAATTTGACTGGATCCCCAGGCCGGCTTTTGAGACCTCCATGGAGGCGTTCTAGTTTCACCCCTAGCTCCATGGGTGCAGCCACTAGTTTCCTAAAGGGGATGTGATGAAGCTCAGTGAGCACTCATCAAGTTGAATGAAATTTTTTTGCCAGGTGCCGCATATGGTGCTAAAATAACAAGGAGCAAACCAAGTGTTAGGTAGGGGGGGGGGGGGGCACCGACCCCTACTTTGGCTGCGTCTATACCCGGCGCAACCAGGGGCGCAGCCAAAATTTGCGACCGGGGGGGGGGGGGAGGGGCGTTTTTGCGCAGTAGTTCCAGTCCCTTTGACAGTACCTACGCGCTGCAGACTATAATGCCCCACAAACGCTAAAAGGTACAGCGTGTCGCGTATCAGTGAGCTATCGATGTTAGTTTTCCTTGAAACCTTTGGCACCTGTTTCAACTGCGAGCTGTTCATATTCACGCGGCTATCCAGGAGCCTATTAAATTAGGGCAACTGGGCTCTACATGTAGCTGTCCACGGTGGTATCTATGGGATTTAAAAGCAAAATAGCCTTCCTGACCACCAAATTCCGGAATTATATTCGGTAGCGTCGTGATGAAAGTTGCACTCGAACCTAACGGGCAGGGAGTTCTAAAGTGTCAAGAGCCCCTCCCCCTGGCGCACTACTGGGCTCATGTAAGGTTTTATGATAACACGCTTTTCGCTTCCCGCCTTTAATTAGACGAAAGGGCGCCACCAATTTCCAGGCGTTAAGAAGTGGAGGAGGGCCGGACTCTGTGCCCTCTTTTGGCGCGTCACTGTCAACCGTCCGCACCACGGAAGTGCGATGTTTTCACCGCACTGGCGGTTTTTTGCCCTCTGCTTGCCTTCTCTTCCCTGTTTTCGTCTCTGCGTATCCTGCGTCCACTCCCGGTTCTGCCAAATCAATACCGTTGCCTAGCGCGGGCGGCTGAGGAATCGATACTGGACGCCAGGTGGCATTCACTTTGCTGCAACCGAACATGGCCAATATTGGTCAAAGAATTTTCCTTTAAAACGCGATGTTCTCGTTCTGCGCTCCGATTTGGCAGCATCCCAACACCAGCGATTGCTTTGTTTACGTTTTTGAATGACGCGCCATACCGCAGCCAATGGTTAACCAGGACTCAGCGCGCCGAGCGGCTGTAGCCAATGGTTGAGGAGCTTATAACTGGTGCGTTGGCGTCCTTCGTTTCATAAAAGCTCAGGGGCGCACACGAGGCCATATTCCCGGGCAGCTGCGTCGTGGTTGGTGCGCTCAATTCACCTGAGGCGTTCGGCATTCCCTTTGTTGCTTCGTCAGGTAAGATTGCCACGTCTGGGCACTCGTGTTCTGCGCTCAGCGCGAAGAACAGTGCTTTGTCAGCTCTCGTCATCGATTGCCGTTACTGCGTTGTAGCTCGCGAGGCCGACGGAACTGATCCCAGCGACGACGCAGGTTTTGCTTTAGGGTGCGCAAGTGACTGGGTTGTCTTGCGTGGTCTCTTGGTTCGAAATTCATGACATGCGTGTATTTCTGCGCATTTGCAGCTCTCCAATGCAGTCGCACTGTTGTCGTTGCGCCTCAGAACTTCCTGGGTTTTCCTAATAGTTCGTGCTCTGCGCTTGTGCCGTGCATATGATCGCCGCGTAACCCCAAAAATTCATGATATCCTCAGAAATCTGTGATAATTTGCCGTTACAAGCATTTTGTTTCACCACTCCATCAAACGATCGTCCGATCAGGTACCTGATAACCTTTGTTGAAGCATCTGCTTACCGAGGAAGAACTAGAAATCAGCACGCGATGTAGGACTTTTTCAATTGATAGTTTAATTCCCTTGTCCATGCGATGTGACGTGTGATGTCACGGGCTTTCGGAATGTATTATTTCAGTTCATTTCTTATTTGACTGTCATGTCAGTGTGTCCCGCGAAAAAATGATTGTTCACTGCATTTACCTTGGTATTTGAATAGTCTTGTCAAACGCTCAGACTAGGTGTTGTAACCGAAAGTTATCGCCGGTATCAAGCGACGGAACTTTGGAAATGTCGTTTTTTTGAACATAGAATTAGTCGTGGTAAGAAATATGTGAGCGAACCAGTCTTTTTCAGGATTTCACTTCCCAGTCTCCAACCATGGGGAGTTACTGGTCCGCCGAAGCTGATGTTAGTAAGCTCTCCGTTGTTTTGCATGCCATTCATGGTGACCTCCGCCACGACACGGTTTGAATCGCTGGTTCTGCTCTCACATTTATTTCCGTGTGGTGTTGGACGTTTGGTTTCCGTTCCGTCCTTGCATGCGCGGGGGCTATGGCGGCCACGGCTGTGGCACCGCTTCGGCCGCATGCCCCGGCTGTGGCTCTGCTTTGGCCGCATGCCACCGCCGTGTAAATAATGAATGACTGGGGCGGCACACTATTTCCTCCCCGATCTCAAATCAGTCATATGTACGTTACTGGCTCCTGGCAGCACCTTTTTTGTCATCTTGGAGTGGACTGTCTCACACTGGCAGTTATTGCATCCACGGTGTGCATTCTTTCAGTACCACCATATTTGATAATTGGGCGCGAAAGTCTGTTGGAATATAACAACTTTCTAGCGTCATGCTTCCAGCGCCCCGGCCGTTTGACCCCTTTAGTCGATACCCGAAATCACACGGTGCCGCTCTCCAGCTGCCAACGATCCTTTGTTTGAGCGCGTTACATGACTGGCCGGCGGATCCTGGAGCTTTCCTGCACGATCACGCAGCGGGCGCACTTCCACGTCGCGCGCCAGCCGCGCTGGCCGGCGCGTTCTGACCTGCTGACCCGCGCCTGGGTTTGCTGTGCTGGTGCCTGGTCGCTCATTCGCTGCCGTGTTTTAATGCTCCTTTGTTTCTCAGTCCTGGAATGTCTGATGGTTTGTTGTCAATCTGAGCCTTTGTTTTGCACCGGGTATTCACACGTCTCCATGAGCTGCCTGCACATGCGTGACATGTAATGAACGCCTTGTGCGCGGTAATTGTATAGTTAAGCGTGACACAACATATTTTTTTTCGATGCTGCATATTTGCTGTACTCGAATTCATAGTCTATCACTCGCTTACAATACATTGCTGCTGATTGAAATTAATTGCGCCCTGACCTGTATTGGATGGTTCTCTCAAATTTTAATCGAAGCTATCTGCAAAATGTCTCATCCAGTGGAAACTCGGTTGGATCAGCGAGTATAAATGTGTCCGCGAGTTTTGACCTCAGTGTACTGGTATTGCCGCCCGCTAGGAAGTGTCATTTTTTAGTTTTCGTTTGTCATATGGTTTCTTCCAGTGTGTTTGCAAGTAACATTGAATTTGCCATGCATGCTCAGAACGGTACTCTGCCACTCTTCATAGCAATACCGGTATTTAAAGCTCGCATATTCGGTGCTTTTCAGACTGGTGCTCTCTTACTAAAGAGTTGCTTTTCTTCTTTTTCCGTTGTGAATATTTTTGGCCGTCCATACTAATTACCACGCTTATTATTCTTGCCCTTCCTCTGTTGGACCAAGTTGCCACATGCAGTCACTTACATTCTTGAGGATTCTGTCGCGGTTATCCAACCAAACGTCCATGTGGCCCGTTTTTAAGTTGGGAGCCCCCCCCCCCCCCCCCCCACGTGGCTGATGCATTGCTTCGCTCTTTTTCAGCCCGCAGACCCCAACGCCACCGTCGACATGAGTGCCGGAGACAGTAAGTGGAGATTGCCGACGGCTGCATGTGAAAGCCGCACCCCGTGCCCTGCGCCTTATGCATGTCATCCCCGCCATCCGTCGTCGCATCCGACCTGACCGGAGCCTGTCTCGCCGTGACTGGGCCCTGCCGTGATCCGAGGTCACCCCGGCGCAGGTCGGGGGTCACGCCAGCGGGGAGGAGCGTGCACCCGCTGACTCACTGCTGGAGTCGGTCTGGCGGGGCCGTATCGATTGCACGTCGGGGCCGGCCCGACTCTGACGGCGCTTGCTCCCTGTGGCGGCCGACGCCCCGCACTCCGAACCGTCCAGTCGACCGTCGATTTCGTCGCCGCCGGGCCGGCAGGGCGTGTCCACTTGGTGCTGGGAACCTCTGCTGGACGGACGGTGTCGCCGCACGCCTCCCCTCCTCAGCAGGCAGCCATGATTTTCAGCCTGATCAAAGGTTCGGTGTACAGCTGCTTTTGCAACAGCTGCTCGGTTCCAGCCGTCGCGGCCCAAGGTGAGACGATTGCGGCCCGGGGCGTGACTCTGCAGTCATAGCGGACTCGCCGGTCAGTATGTTCCGCTGGCACGACTCCGGTATTGGGACGCGCCCATGTGGCCTGCCTGGGCCGAGTTTCGACATGGCCGTTTACCTCGGGTGGAGGGTGCCATGTGGCCGCGAACGGCCGGGGCTGACTCGACTTTCATCTCGTGGGATGGTGATCTACCGTGAGCGAAGCCCGCCCGCCGTTTGAGAAACGCCGCCGTCGCGTGGCCGCGGCTAGGCTGAGCGGGGCTCCGAACCGGACGTTGCCCAAACCCGCCTCTCGTAGCGGGCGTCGGTCTGCGTTCCGGCCGTGCGTGGGCGGCCTGCCGGGGTGTCGTGGGCGACAACCCCAAGCCGCACCCCGTGCGCCGACGAGGCGGCGCGTCCGGTCCGATCCTGCCGTCTGGCCGCGCCCGCGGCCTGTCGCCTCTCTGTGCGCGGGACGATCCGCGGGCTTTTGCCGCGGCGAGCTGAGCCGCAGAGACCGCGGCGCGCGTCGCGCTGCAGCGGGACGGTCGCGCCGTAACGATCATGGTGCGGCGCTCCTGGCGCTGGTTTTCACGATCGAGGGGCGGGGGGCGAAATGTCAGCGTCGCGTTGTCGCAAGGTTGTTGGCCACTTGCCTCGGCGAGACCCTGGACGCGTCGATAGCCTGGCGAATCCGGCTTAATGTCGACCGCTTGCCGCCTGCCTCATATGGCGCGTGACTCACGGGGAGGGGCCACCGGGTGGCGCCGCCGGCTGTCTGGGTCGGGTCAGCGGCGGTTGCCATGGCTGCGGACTGCCGCCGGCGCCGTGTCCCCGCCCCCCTGCCCCACCGTCGCTGTCGCGGAGGGCTCGGCTCCTGGGGACCCGCTCCGACTGCGGACGTAGCGACAGGCGGGACGGAGCATCAAACGATTTCTGGATGGTATCCAGCGCATGTTTTAGTATGGTTTGCATTGAAAGCACTGGCTTTCGCTCATGGTGTTGACAGGCGTTTTTTATGAAACGTGGCGCACACCGGATTTCAATCGCGGTCGCTGACCATGACGCAAGACAGATGAGCGTGTTTCGAAACACGCCGACATTTCCCAAATCACAGCCGATCGAGCAGCTGTGCAAGCCCCTAGTCGTTACGATTCCATCGGATCTAGTGCTCGCTATGCTAAGACCCACCATGCCGTTCGCTGGGGTGCCCAACCAGAATTGCACGGACCCGCCGCTGTGGCCGTCCTGGCGGCGTGAATCAAGACTCCTAGCCGGGGACTGCAGGGGCGGGCTGGCCGTTCTGGCGGCGTGACTCGGGACGCCCCGCCAGGAACTGCAGGGGCGGGCTGGCCGTCCTGGCGGCGTGACTCGGGACGCCCTGCCGCAGTGACGCCGCCCGTCCGCGCTGAGGAGGCGATGCGGCGGCTCGGCCAGCGGCGGCGATCGATGCGTGCAGACGGAAAACATTCCGCCGGCCTGTCGCCCGGTGTTCGCACCCGGCCACCGCAACTGTCTGCCGCCCGTCCCAGGCGTATCAAGGTCAAACCGTTCTCACATTCTAAATTTGGTTCATTCTTATGGATGTTGGGCCGTCAGAGACTCTTCTAACCGATCTGCGGCGCGTTAAGTCATTGTACGATCAAGTCTGTATTTAGCTGGTGTGAGTATATCGAGATATCGAGCATAATCAGCCTGTCTGCCTTCCTTGAACTCGTTGACAGGAAGGGATCAGCTCGTTGGCATTGAGATCACTTTCGTTGCTCTAGGCTGGGTTTTCCAGTTGCATACCAAACATCGTGCTGGATGTTATTTTTCCTTATCCCATTTAGATCAAAGAGATAATTTTGTTTGACAAGCGCTTTCTTATTTTTTTGAATTTTGCAGTTGCCAGCTTTTCTCATGTACAGCAATCACAGTCTGTCTTTCGGGCGTAGTTAGCTGACACACCAGGGTGCGGGGTTTCACACACCAGGCTTCGAGTGAACCGACATTGATTTCCGCGTGATTGAGTCCACTTGGTGGTGGTCGTTCGGTCTAAGAACTAATTCTTCAATTTCACAGTGCCTCGATCAAACGAAAAGTTGTGCAAGTGTCACATCAAATAAACAAGGATGACGGAACTGTCTACAAATGTGACAACAACATTTTGGGCTGTCTTTGTTTGCACATAATATCGTCCGTTTTTAAAAAAAATATGTTTGAATAATATCATCCGTTTTGTCAATGTGCCACCAATTACCCGAATGGGGATAAAGGTCGTTATCACCCTGACGCACGGTTGATGCAGAGCAACCTCCCCTCGGCGAGAGTTGCACCAGCCTACCTTTCAAACGTGTCATGCAGCGCAGCGCGGCCGCTGGAGCCGGCGCTGCAGCGTTGGCTGACTGGACTAGGTACAGCCGACCCTACGCCGCAGGTTTGAAACTGGCCACACGGCGAGCTGGCAGCGAGCCAGCGCGCTAGCCTCGGCCGGGCGTCGCAGTTCCTCTCTCTCTCTTTGTTGTGGTCGCCGGCCCGCAGGCCGCCAGCTGATGGTGCACAGGGTAGCCGAGCGGCACCCACTCGCTCTGCAACGGATTTGTTTGCAGAGCGGGGATGGGGTGTCCAGGATAGACCGCTGAAGGGGATGGCTTCGGTTCGTTGGAGGCGTGCATGGGTACAGCAGGCCTTGGAGGGGACCGTTTTCGGCGCGGCCAGAGAAAAACACTGGCAGCTATCCTATGCCGCTTTGTTCGCTGTCGTGCGGCGCCCGGCCACCCAAGGTCGTTTGTGTTGACGTTCTAGTCGCGGGCGCTGGAATCGTTGGGCTACGGGTTTACTGGGAGGGCTATCTCGGCGTGCTATCACAGAATTTGCGCAGGTTTTGCCGCTGTTTGTTAGCCGAACCACGGCAGGACCTGTTGCGGACGGGACACCTCCTGCGATGGGAATCTGCCGACGAGGAGGCGTTTGCGCGAAGCGCGTACGTCTGTTTTGGGCGCGTTTGAAAGCTCGGCTGGCCTGCGTGGTTGTGCGTGTGGGACTGCCATCGCCGGACTTGAAAGCAAGCCAGCGTCTATTTCTGCGCCTGTGGTGCGTGCCTCTGGCAGAGCGCATGCGTCCGCGTCTGTGTGTAAATATTTGGGCAGGGTGGCGCACCGGGACGTGCGTTGACCGTGCGCCGGCCGGCGCCAGGTGCCGGGGTCGGGATCTGGGCCAGTGATGCGCCACCAGCCTGCCAATGTACACCGAGCCGGCGCTCACTTTCGCATCACAAGGACATTCCTGCCGACTTGGGGAGTTGGACTGAACTGATGGCGTGTTTGAGCCGCCACGGATAGGTTTGAGAAGGAGACTGAGGGAGTTTGAGGAAAAGTAGCTCACTAGAGTTTTTGTCAGAAGCGTTTTTAATTCAAATGCAGTCCAACGAAATCCAAGTGGACGAACAAAGGGAACGCTTTCACAGCTAGCTCGAACTACCGCACGCTGCTTGCGCGAGCATGTGGAGCTCCCTATCTTTCAGTCGGGTGTACCGTCGGCTGATCTGACGTGTTTTGCCGGACGTGCCGCGCAACTTTGTCATAACCGTGACAACACGGATACGGTCCGCCGACCCCTGCCGCAGCTGATGGTGGCGGCGCAGTTGTCTACTGCGCATGACCTCGCGCCGCTCATGAGGTCGCCGCGTGCACGGTACGACGTAGCCGCAACCAGTCCTGGTCACGTGATGCCGCTCCCAGCTGGTCGGCCAGCTGGTGCGAGGTCACGTGACGACGCGCTTTCCATCGTCGGAAGGGGAGGGGAGGGGGGGGGGGGGACGGACACTGCGCAGTCCGGCGCGGCCTTGCGGGGGCGTTGCCCGCGGCTGGGTCCCGTCGCCGCGCGCGGCGCCTCTGCACGCGGCGCAAATACCTGCCGCGGCGGCCTTTGTGGCGTCTGCGCCGGGGCTCGACGTGGGCGGCGCCGGCGGCCGCGCGGGCCGAGGTCAGCGGAGGTCAGCGGACAAAGGGCTCCCGCCAGCCCGCCGACTGATGCGCGCGGGACGACGCGGCGTCGCTTACAGTGGGACGGGCCCGGGACGAGGCGGGCGGCCAGACTTCCGGGACGGTTTTTGCCCTGTCTCGCTGCGCGGTGTTGTGGCTGATCCGGGCTCGGCCGCCTCCGCTTGCCAATGGGAATGGCTCCGCTCCGCCTCTCACTCCGCCTGTACTGTGCGTCTCAGACCGACGCGGCGCTTACAAGGCGGTCAAGAAGAACAACAAGCCTCACTGTAAGCAGCCGAAGAGACGGCATTTTATCAGTAAGTGTGGCACCAATGGTTGACCTGATGCGGCTCCCTCCGTTTTGTGGCCTTTTTTCTTTTGTGCTTGCTTCCAAAAGGAGCCGTGCTCCGCATATCCGTTTGGCATACGTCCCGCCCCGCTGCTCGCATGAGCCCAACCCGCCGTTAATTGGAGAGCCCTGCCGCCTTCCAGCGCAGAGCTGAGCTGCATGTTGAAGCAAACGGCAGCTCCCGCCGGGATTCGAACCCAGTTTTCTGGGTTGGGGCCCGACCGTCAGCACCCGTCGGTGGCTCTGCCGCTGTGTGTTGTCCGCATCAGCCGGCCCGTGAAGCGGCCATGATTGTGCGGACCGTGTCGCCGTTCCCGAGCGCTATTTATAGCGTGGGGCGCGGCCGGGCCGCCCGCACGGCGTCCCGCGGGTCGGGCCGGCGGCGGCCCTCGCCCCTCGCCGGTCGATACGGCCGCCGGGACCGGCCGACGACCCCCGCCGCCGGTCGTGTTTACCCGCCGGGACGCCGCCACGGCTGCCTAGCGGTAACAGCAATTAGCGATCATGACCGTGCCGGGCACCGGCCGAAATAGTGCCGGCACCGCGCGAGCCCGGCCGCTTCATGGCTCGCCTGCGCCCGGCTGCGCAGCGGACGCTTCGCTGTGCCGTCGCTGCCTCTTTGTGCGCTCGGCGCTTGTCGATTGGCTCGGCGCGACGTCTTGCGTTTTTTTTTTCGCGCGCTTGACCGTGGTAGTGGGAACTGGCCGCGCCGCCGGGGTGGCCCGGGCCGCGCTGTGTTAGCGGTCAGCGGGTCCGACCGCGGCCTGACAACCCCCTCACCTCGCCGCTGCTATCGGTGGCGTGACGCGAGGCTGACTCCGTTCGCTTCCCGTCAGATACGGCCGTGGAGGCGGCGCGCTTTGCTGCGCCGCATACTGATGCGGGCCGGCGCGGCCGAGGCCTGCCTCTTTGTCGGGTGTTCCACCGTGCGGCCCGGACGGGCGGGCCTCGCCCTCGCCCGGGCCGCCGCCGCCAGTCTCAACACCGGTGGCACTTGTCCACCCATGTGCCGTTTGTTCAACACACCTCGCCGGTTCCGGTCTGGGCCAGACGCGGACGGCCCCCGCCCCGCCCCGTCCCTTCCCGTCCCGTCCCGTTTTCATGCAGGCTGGGCCGGCTTGACGCCCGCGCCTCAGCTGTTGTTGCATCCGGCCGGCCTTTGTGGCGGCGTTGCATGATCGCCCGCCGTGCGACAGCGCCGGCACGTCAATGTTGCCGGTCGCTCGACGTTCGTGCCCCCGCTTCTCCTCCCCCTCCCCGCACCAGCCCCACCCCAGCCCCGTCCGCCGTGCACGTCACCGCCTGACGTCGGTGGGCTGCTTTAGTGCGTGCATGTCGCCACTGCGTTTGTCTGTATGGTGCCCGCGGCCTGCAGAGTGGCATCTGACAGCCAGTCAGACGCCCACCGGTTTGTATGTTTGTGTGTTACGCACCGCGCTGGCGGCCGGGTTTTTGTGCTCAAGTGTCTGCGCGCCTCGTGGCCGTCAGCTGTTTGTCGTTGTGCGCGTGTCGGAGGACCCTGGCTCAAAAACAAGCCTCGCCCGCGGCTTTGCCCGTCGCTCTGTAACGGCGCGATGACAAAATCGAACCACATTCACCAGCGCTGTCTCGCCTGATGTAGTGACCCACCTCAAGGACGCCGCTGCGAACGCATTCAAATCAGTCGCGATCTAACACGTCGCCAGTGAGAGAAGGCCACGGAGGTGGCGGCGAGTCGTAATGCGCTCGGCCGGCGCGGCGGCACGCGTCGCGTTTAATACCGCGGCCGCGGGAAGGACGCCGCCGGCCGGCCGTGCCGCCCACCGGGTCAGCCGTCACGCTGTGCCGCAGCCGGCGGCAGCGCGGCGCGCGGCCGCGTACAGGAGCAGGCCATTTGTTACGGCGTTAGGCAACGCCGAGCGTTGCGCTGGCTGGTGGCTGCGTGCCGCGCCACTGCCGCCGTGTGCACGCCCCGGATCTGCCATGGAGCCGTGGGTCGCGGCTGGGCTGTTGCGCCGGGTGTGTGAGAGGGACGTGACGCGTCGCGGGCCCCCTGCGCGCTGGGTCGGTCGCCGTCCGCGTCTCCGGCGTCGCTCGCCGTCCGCACCGCTCGTCTCCGAGGGAGCCTGTACCCATGGCAGGGGACGCCCTCTGGGGGATGCGCTCCCACTCGTGGCGGATGTCGCCCCGACTGTCAGTCGGGAGGCCCCCCCCCCCCCCTCCCGCCGACCACTGCTGTGCGGTGGGGCGCCGTCGTGCTGGGAAGTTCCTTTCCGCGCCACGTCAAGTTAACGGCATGTCTGAGACATGAATGTGTTGCCGTGCGTCGGGGCGTGATCATGTGACCGCGTACAAACCGGCTTGGTTCCCTGTGCGTGCTCGCCGTCGCTGCTTATCCGTCGTGGTGCGGCGTCGCCGGCGGCCCAGTCACGGAGCGGGCAGTGTATGGTACCGGTCCTGTGCCGCAGCCACCGAGGGGCCCTGTCACGGAGCGGGCAGTGTATGGTACCGGTCCTGTCACGGAGCGGGCAGTGTATGGTACCGGTCCTGTCACGGAGCGGGCAGTGTATGGTACTGGTCCTGTGCCGCAGCCACCGAGGTGCGCTGCCAGGAGAAGTCCGGCGGCCTGGCGTATGAGGTCATCCTGGCCACGCCCACCACCGAGCCGCCGGCCAACGTCGCCTCGCCGGCGCCCAAGGCCACGCCCACCGCTGATGACATCAACAAACGGCTGCAGGCCGCCGAGGAGCGCAAGAAGGTGAGCACTGAACGGACGGCAGGACGGCCCGCCCGCGGGCCTTAGCACGGCCAGGCATGAGGTGGTGGCGCCCTGTGCTGCAGGGTGGCGGCCGAGACTCCGGATGCGGGCGGGCTGACCTCGGCCGGATGTAGCGGCCGCGAGGAGGGGACGGGTCATTGCTCGCGCACCTGTCTCACATCCATGGCGATGAGATTGCGGACTGGCCAGATGGCAGCTGGTCTGACCACCATGATACGGTCGGCCGTCCTGTCCTTGTGAGGTCTGACCTGACCTGACCTGACCTGACCTGACCCCCCTCCCCCGCTGTCCGCAGCGACACGAGTACCAGCGCCAGGCCTCAGTAACTGACAAGCTAGCACGGATCGACGAGGCCAGCAAGAAGCGACAGGAAGCCGACCAGCAGTATATCCAGCAAGCGCGTGAGCAGCTGGAGCAGAAGATGGGCGCCAACGTCAAGAATCGCGAGAACATCATCAAGGGCATGCAGGAGAAGCTGAAGGAGCACGTGAGTGACCGCCTCACGCACCCCGTCTCGCGGCACGGGCCTGGCGTGCGTGTCTAACGGCTGCACCCCGGATCTGACGGAGACCAGCGCGCGGGAGCCAGTTTTCGATCATAGCTTATGCTGGTGGACACCAGCCGCCCTTGTCTACAAAGAGACAGTTGGATCCGGGGTTCAGGTGTCGCTTGTTTGGCATGCTGAGTTCCATAGGCACCGGCCCAGACAGGCCCGGCACGGCTAATGTGTATTTATTACGCTTTGCCTTAGATGGTTATGTTACTGCCTCCACCACCTAACGTCCTACGGTCTCTCGCTGTTTTCGTCCACGTATATCGACCTTGGCGGACGGACCTGCCACCTGCTGGACTGTGGTGGAACTAATGGTGGGTACGGTCTCCGTGTGGCGCAGCTGGAGCAAGTTGAGGCCGTTCAGAATAAGACGCGCGTCCAGTACGCCGAACTGGCCGCCTCCATCCAGGAGAAACAGAAGGGAGCCGAGGAGGCTCGCGATGAAAACCTCCGCAAAACGCTCGAGAAGCTTAAGGAAAAGGTGAGCGTGTACAGCCAATTGGCGGAGGGCCCCTAATGACATTGTTGTCATTGCAATGTTGACACTGCTGCGTCTGGACATCTGGGGCGTCTTGTTCTGATAATTTTTAAAGTGAAAATCCAGCTAGTTGGGGGATGGGTGATTTGAGCAGAACAGTGTAAAAGGTAGCATATGAAGTAGTATAGCATAGCATAGGAAACAGTAGCCTCTGTTTCGTATAATTATGGAGTGGTGGGATCCAACCCTGACCAAAGCGCACCCTGCTCGTACGGTATTCATCGAATGTCCCCTGGTTAGAACCACCCAGCGAGCTGTTAATGAAGCCAGCGGATGGGAGGTAAGGAGTACAGTCGATCCCGTTCCCAAGCCTGTGGCGTGGCCCCTGTCTCCGGGGCGGGGCTGTGAGGACCGACATCTGACGGACGGCCGACCCCGGCGGCGGCAGGAGGAGCAGGGGGAGAAGGTGCGTGCCGCGCACGTGGAGCACATCAAGCAGCTGAAGGCCAACATGGACAGCTGGGAGATCAAGCTGAAGAATGCCGAGGAGAAGCGCGTCAAGGAGATGCAGAAGAAGGTGGAGATGCTGCACGAACACGTGAGACACGCCCTCCGGCCTGTGACGGGCCCGCCGCATGACTGCCTGCGCTCTGGCCTGTTCTGTGTGCTCATTGGAGGTGTGCAGTGGCCAGCGTTGTGGACCGCTCTGTCGGCATGCCTTTAATCACCGTGCTTTAATCACTTGAATCACGGAAGGGACGCTATGTGACATCGCCGTGGAGGCGCTATGAACCGTGATTGCCGTTGGCATCTTGTTGAAGCCTTACATTGGCTGGATATCATGTAACAAAGCAGTTGTGAGTGCCAGGACCGCAGCGTTGTCGCAGCGTCTCGCGCGACACTACGCCCTGCCGGCGTGCCGACCATCGGCGAGCGCCCCGCCGTCGCCACCGCGGCGGCCCTGCCCTCACGTCTGTTGCCCGCGCACTCCGCAGAACACGGTGAAGCTGCAGAGTGCACAGCAGATGGCCGAGCAGAAGACCAAGGACCTGGCCAAGCGGGTGGAGGAGACGCTGCCGGAGAAGCTGGCCAGCGCCGAGCAGCGCCGCCAGGAGGGCATCGGCAAGGTGGTGGAGAAGGCGCGTGAGGAGGTGAGAACAGCAGCAGCTGCTGCGACGGGGCGTGTGACGTTCGTGCCAGCGGTGCACTACTTCTTGTGCAAAAAAAAACTCACGCGAGCGAACTGTCGTGCATATTTTTGTGGTTATTTGTCGCAGCTGCGGGCTGTGGGTACAAGTAAAGAATCACACGCCCGACGCATTTGCACATTCAAAGGCTTTCCACCTCTATCTGTGGCGTTTGTTTCACAACCGAGTCTGTTAGGGTTGGGGTCCCGGCGCGGCGCTGGGGACCGTGCCTGATTTCCCCCTGCCTCCCCGCCAGCTGAGCAAGGTGCCGGTGGTGAGGTCCAACATGGAGGAGTCCGTCAAGATGCAGGAGACCAAAGTGCAGGAGCTGGTACAGGCCAAGCTGGTGCAGGCTGAGGAGCGGCGCCTGGAGCTGATCGAGAAGCAGCGTGAGAAGCTCAAGGAGCGGGTGAGTGGCGACGCGCGGCCGTCTCGCCGACCGCATGAGGCTGTCATGCGGCGTCGCCGCTCCGGACAGCAGGCGCGTGCCGCCGACGCGCCCCGCCTCAGCGCGCTAAGGAACGGATTTGCGGGCCTTCCTGTCTGGTCGTGTGTGTACGCCCACCTGGGAGGTTTTGTCGCGAGCGTAGCGTGTTACCGTTGTAGCGTTGCGCGTGGGGACTTGACGCCAAGAGGTCTTGTTGTCGGCGACGCTCGGTCCCGTGGCGGCTGGCGTGTACCCCGGCTGCTGACGGAGCGTTTTCGGTCGTCGGGCGTGCCACCCACCCGCCCGCCTTATGCAAGCCGTCCTCTTGTCTCCTGGTGTGCTGTCCCGCTGTCTCCCAGAGAGTGACGCCTGTCTGGGCCCGCAGGAGCGTCACGGCGAGGTGGTGCGCCAGAACAAGGAGCGCGTCTCCGAGGGAGACAGCCAGTAGGCGTCGGAAACGCCAGAGGGACGCCGCGCGCGGGTGTCCGCTCTCTTCTGCTGTCTCTCTCTGAAAATTACATACATGGAAAAGATCAGAAAAAAACCAAGAACGATCTCTAGTCATAGAGTTTCCCCCTATTCTCCGGTTTTGTTTGCAGAAGTTTATTGCTTTTGAAGCGCGCGTGCAGCTGCCGTGACTCCGTTCTTCTCGCCCTGTTGCTCCTGTGTGTACATAGTTCTTCACGACGTGGAAGCGGTACGACGGAAGGATCTCCCGCCGGTGTGGTGGCGCGCCGCCGCGTGCGGGCGTGCGTGCGTGAGCGAGCAGCTGTGTGGATGGTGCGCCCCGGAGCGGAGTGCCAGGCCAGGGACCTACGAGACGCAGCCGAGCAGGCGGGCGCGCGAGAGACCAGATGTGACTGTTCACTGCCGCGCGCCAAATCGCCGACTCGGCGCCTGTCAGGCGACGCCCGCAAGTGTATACTGTGCTTGACGCCACCTGTGTAGCTCAAATTATTATTTTTGCACCGTTTGGTTACTAGTCGCAATGCGTACAGATCGAGTTCCACATTAATACTATAGGATATTAAGGCTTGTCCTTTGCGCCGACATGTGAAATACAAGGTGCAGATGACGCGGAGGTGTCTGGGCGAGGACGGCGGCCCGTGAGGCGGCTGCCACTGTTCATCGGACAGAGGGCGTGGGGTCATGGAGCTCATCGTCCATGGACCGGTGCTGCAGAAAAGAGAACAGGCCCGTGAAAGAGTTCCGGAGCTCGAATAGGAACGATTATCACATAGCTGGGGCGGGATGCCCCATGGGTTTGGACATGGGCCGCGTGCCGTGAGAGTGCCGCGCAGACAAAGGTGGGATTCTGCATTTGCAGGTGCCTAATAGTCTACCGCTCCTCATTTGCACGCATTGATATCGTTATCAGACATAAAACGCTGATGCCATCTGGTGAACCAATGAACCTACAACAGCAGGGTATTTTGCGCAGCGTTTTGCACGGAAGTGGGTTGCCAGAACGGGCGGGGGGGGGGGGGGGTAGATGATGCGGCATGGTCTGCCCACTCGACTGACTCATAAGGCGCAGGGCCGTGGGCAGCCATGCTGAACGCTGTGAACGTTGCTCTACTCTCACGTCAAGTTCTATTGAGAGCGAGCCAGGTGTTGGTCATCGAAAATCCCTCTGAGAACCTGACCATCATCACCATCGTTCCGTCAAACACATTAAGTGTGTTTGCTCGGCCTGACAACAGGGAGCACGACTTTGTCGTCGCATCGGCTCCGGCACCCACGGAGATCGATGGCTGCGCCTGCATGCCCAACACCGACGCTATCAGGAGACGCACGCCATCCGCGCACCCTGTCATCAGCGTGATTTCCGCTGATGCTTCTCAAGCACGCGAGGCGAGCTCAAGGTCGAACGATTTCAACGCACTGGGTCCAACGTTCAGAAGAAAGGATGCGGCAGGACGACTGTGGGTGTCCTGTATGTGGTGTTCTCGTACACGCCTCTCCCCAGGGTTGCCCTGGATCCTCCCTTAACGGATCCGGCGCGCGCAGGAGCCGACGCGCAGCAGGAGAGTCGGCTGATGGCTGCCGCGCGTGTCGTATGTGTGCGTTATCATACAAGGGTGCGTTCCCGAATACAAATCCCGATTGGACCCCTGAGTGTCAGCGGCGCAGCGGCGGTGACGGGAGACTCGGAGGATAGAACACTGTCGACTGTCGGTGATTCGCGAGATCCTTCCAGGCGTTGTAGATGACAAAGGAGAGCCTTCCCTCGCATCATACATGTATGCCCCAGCCTACACCGAGCAGCCTAACAAAATGTACCGGCTGCGCCGCATGACGTCACTAGGAAGCACACACGACGTCAATGCAACACCAGTGGCATACCGAATTTACCATGAACAGTGGATTGCGGGGGGGGGGGGAGGAGCAGGGACACAGGCTACCCCGGACAATAATTAACAATCCTCCATGACGATGTACGGAAACAAACAAGGCTAATATCGTGCATCCCTCTCTACATTCTTCACGTTCTCTACCTCACAGGCTCCTTCGCCTCTGGGATTCCCTTTTTGCTACAACCCAGCGAGCCCTCCATACTTACTGTTTCTGTGGGGAGCTATCGAAACGTCCAAGATGGCAGCGTCCAATGTTTATGTCATCCAAAATGACAACATCCACCGTTCAAAACATCCAAAATGCGTCCTATTTCGTGCGTATTGGCGGGGTTTAAGGTATCCAAGCGCGCAACATCCAAACCCATAACATCCATTGTGCACAGCATCCAGCGATCACAACGTCCAGAATTAGTGTTGATTCCTGCTTCTAGTTGGCACTACAGTGGCGCATTTCTTTCGGCTCCTGCCGTATGCATGTACAGCAATGCCATACTTTGCTCTTTTGTCGACAGATGATTTGAGGGGAGGGGGGCGGGGGTGACCCACATTCATAAGGGACTTCGAATTAAAATAGCCACGTTGAAAACCTTTCGGTGCTGTTCAAAATTCTGCCGTTCCCCCCTGCTGACCTAAGACCCTCTAGGTTCTGAGTTGCACGCCGCGAAAATAGGGCGATACGGCCTGGAGTGCTGTGGGTGGCCTATGAAAAAGACGTTCTTATGTTCCTCCAGACCTACCACGGACTACATGCATCTGTCTCTTCCCCTCACACAACATGCTAATTATGTTTTCAGTGTTGCTGTGAGCTGGCTAACTTTTGTCGCACTCGAAGTTTAAGGTAGTCGGAAGGGAGATTTATCCATTTGGCAGCCGAACCATCAACATGGGCTATGAGCACCATAAAAGGCGTAGCAACAGCGCACAACGCGCAAAACAATGTACCGCGCGAATTGCCACGCCTCAGCCGTACAGCCATTCTCGTCATGCATATATTTGCTTGTGCGTAGGCGTTTAGACGCATGATGGGTCATCCCACTTACAATTACCAACCGCCGATCATTTCAAACTTAATAATCACAGTCAAGGCCGGGTAGCAAGCCACGCCTCATCGCCTCAATACGTAAGTCATCATTGTTTTCGTAATTGGTCGTTCGCCTCCATGCGTAAGTCCTTGTATGTCACTCGTATGGGTATAGGGGAAGGGAGGGCCTGAGAGCCAGGCCTGTCCCTTCTTTTCAAGGTTGGGGGGGGGGGGGGCATTGTTAACTGCCTTCTCACACTTTTCAGATTTTATTTGCGTTTAGCTAACTTTTGTATTATATTAAACGCGCATGCCGATTTACCTACTTTATCAGTCATGTTCCTCAAACCACACTTGACAAAATTACTTCACGTGGTAAATGGCCACATCTTGTCCTGACGTGAACGGCAAACGGATATTTTTAGGGGCAAACCCGGAGTTTCTGTAGTGCCAAAGCCTCCGTTCTGTCTTTTTTTATAGACTTAGTTTTTCTGCATGGCTGCTTGCAGTCTCCTCAGCACATGTTCATGGCATTCAAAATGGTATGTTGTTTCCCTCTAAGGACCACTGGATCGACCAGGGGACACATCCCCGCATCATCAGAATGGCACCCGGAATGTACCCCGCGCCGAGATGGAATGTTCATTTAGCCCTGGACCGGTAATAATACTGTGTCCCTTGGTGTTCTGTTTACGGCCACCTTGCCCAGAAAACGTATGGGTCTCAGAAGTGTTGGATAGAGTGGATCGAAATGAAGCCGAAAATGACAAAGCCAACCCATGTTCTCCTGAAAACGTTCATCATTATATGAACTCATCTGATTTAATCTGACCGGTAATGATTATCATTTATAGCCCTGGACAGAAAATGATTATTCATTGATCTGACATCATTACGTTCATTAAAACGTCGATATGTAATACGTAAAACAAAAACGCATAACGTAAAACAGCTTTAGATCCTGCACGCTCGCAATCCCAGCAAGAACAGCGATGCCCGAGGTTCTAGTTTTGTAAAACTGAACGGCGTGTGCCACTGCTGCGATAACGCCAGGCAGTGGGAGCCTTGCGCGCGAGAACGACCGTCGTAAAACAATGCTTCCAAGATTCTTTCCAAATAACTTTAAACTATCCCAAATTCAGATTGGGGCAAATGTTTTGAACAATTTTTAGGATGACTTTTGGCCAAAATATTAGTTAAAGTGGCATGAAAAATACTGATTTATCTTTAATCTTCCACTCCCACCATCCGACCCCAGCTCCATTTTGTGGTGCTGTAACGGCTTATCGGTCGTAATGATCCATCCAGAATCGCAAAGGTGAAATGGACGTCCAGACGGCTTTCTAAACGTACAAATTAATGTTCTGAAGCGTTAAATAGTACTTCCTTCAGATGTATGATCTTTTTTGTCCGCCCGCTGGCCACCCCTCAGTGTTAGCCGCGAGGCCGACACCGCACGCCCTATGGAGACTGCAGCGCCGGGCGTCGAGCCTGTTGGAAGTGTTGCCAGTGCGCATCCTCAAAACACTTACATAATTTTTCCCAGTGATTGGCTATGACTGAATGTCAAAAGTTTCAAGACAAGCATGAGCTGGCAATGTCGATGCAAAGTTTGGACCCTATTTCGATCTCCATTCTACGCTCAGGGATCCACAATAACTCTGAAAAATAGAGAGAAAAAAACATTGGAAAGCTTCAGGGTTCTATCGGTTTAGAAAGAGACCACTGGACTATTGTAAAACAAAGGGTGCTAATGATTTATTCCATCCAGTCGTTCAATGCCTGATTTCTGCAGGTACACTGAGTCTGCCCCTCCCCCCCTTTGAGACGTTCCTACGCCTATGGCCACTTATGGTTATGGTCATTTATGGATCTGTGCGGATCCGATTGCATGCTGTTTTGTGTCTATGGCTGCAAATTTTCATCACATGCTCCACAAACTGTTATTTTTACATGCCATACAGCTGGTGCCGCTTTGGTACGAGGCAAGTCTATACTAGCCTGTGGCATCTCTGCCCTCTCCCCCACTCGGTCTCTAAGCGCATGCTGCCTTGAAGTCAACAGACGCGCACCAGTGGCTTCTTCTCATGTGGCGTATCGCGCTAAATGCCGAAAACATGATACTCTGGTATTTATTGCGGTGTTGCTACATACGGCCCGTTGCCAGACGCCTAACGCCTTCTCTACCGAGCTTCCTGTTTGAAAAGCGCCTGTAACAGGCACTGCGCTCTGTACTCTCTGCTCTCCTTGCCCTGAGCACACGGTGTCCCTACGTCCATCAGCAAATACTTTGCAAAACGATTAAGCGGGCTGTACATGTTTATGACTGCTGTTATCACACCCATATTATATGTACCTGTATCATCGTTATACTTCCCTCGGTTTTATACGAGCTCGGGTTCACTGCCACCCGGCCTGTGCAGTTACAACGATCGGTTGCCTTGGCTGACCAGCCGATCGCGCCATTTTCTTCCGCGCCAAGCTGCCTTAAGAGCGAAGAGTTAAGAGCGTGCAGTCTGGCGCGTGGATGAAGATGTTCTAATTGGTCGGACGGGTAAGCTTTCCAAGCGTCGTAGATGTCCGGCACCAGACCACGGACAGATCACGACTTATTGCGTGGGAGTTGATCTCCTGTGAATCAAGCAAGGAGCAACCAAATATGGAACAGATTGAACAATAGTACTGGCCATGGTTGCAAT